GTTGGGGGAAAGAGGCTCTTTAAACCGCTTAGAGAGGGCTGTAAAGCGGGATAGAAGTCTCAGTGCTATTGGCCTTCCTTCCTTCCAATCAGAATGCTGTACTGCAGGCTAACTCTGCACACTGAGAACAGTTCAATTCTGACCAGCTCAAGGTTGACTCAGCCTCCTGCCCTCCAAGGTGGGTAAAACGAGGACCCAGGTTGTTGGAGGCCACAGGATGACTTTGTAAACTGCTTAGAGAGGGCTGTGAAGGCACTGTGAAGCGGTATATAAGTCTAAGTGCTATTGCTATTTTATCCCTTTTGGGCCAAGATCAAGTATAATTTCCCTCCAAGCCTGAGCTGGAGTTTTTTTGAGATGACATCAAAGAGAGAACAACTTGGATTTCCCCTGGAAAGTGGCTTGAACACGCAAGGGGGGAGGATCCCTTCAGCTGCTCCTGGAAAAGCTGTGGCTGCTTGCAAGCGGGGCCTCTCCTGGGACGGCCCCCCCCCCCACACCCAGGAAATCCTTGGGGGAGGATCCCAGTCGAAAGAGGCAACGGCCGGACTTTGAGGGATTGAAAGGTCAAAACACGCGCCCTGGATTTAATCTGGAAGTCTCGAGATAGTCAGTGCAGTTTGCCCAAACAGGAGCCACGCGCGGCCTTTTAGGAAGCTTCGGCCCAGGGAGCAGTTGGGGTTCCCCCCACCCTAAATTCAGTTACGGCTGGCTACTTTTTCTCCTCAGCCTGAAATTAAGGGTTGGCACTTGTGTGATGAGTAAGAGGAGAGCGGGCACCTGGTGTAATTCCCATTGTCTTTGGCCACAGCTCAAGCCCCACCCCCGTGGCTCATGGGGACTGAGGTCTAAGACCCCAAGTGGCAGGAGGTTCGGTGTATTCTGGGGAGGGGGACATGGGACCCCTGGCGTCAACAGGCCATGGGGCAGCCACTCCCGAAGCACCCGCTCCGGAGATTCCCAAGGATGCCGTCTAGTTACGCTAACCCGCCTGGGTGGGCGAAAGGCCCGTTTGGGACTCCGGAAGAACCGCAGGGCCTGGAGCCGGGACGGAGTTAACCCTGCTTGCTGTTAGGGGAATGTGTGCCCCTCCCCACCCCCCCACTGCCAGCCAGTCCCCTCAAACTGTGTTGTGGTGAACCCTCTGCCCCGAGGACTCAAGTGCCAGTCATTTGCAGAGGTGCCCTGGGGGTGGGTGGGTGCTGAAGAGCAGCCCAGTGCCAGCTGGGTCTGCTCTCAGAGAAGTTGGAACATCCCAAGGAAGCTGGTGACCCTCAGCCGCGTCTCTGCCACCACGGAACCTGGTGTGGCGGTGCATGACTGGCCGAGACTGGGAGAGAGAGCCAGTTGACCGAGAAGCTGATCTGTGGTGCCCGCAAGACGGCTTGGATGGGCAGGCCTCAGCTCCGGGGCTGAGCATCGTGTGCTGGAGGAAGGGGGGGGGTTTGGCCGCGTGGAACAGGCACCCGGGCAGAGCAGCAGGCAGCGCTATTTCTCTGGACAAGTTGCTGGCCAAGAACATCGGTGAGGAGCGGCTTCAGCCGGAGTGACAGCCACCGCCTCCTGAGGGGTGCAGGGGGCGACTCCTGGGTGCCCCCCACCCCCACATAGGGAGGCCAGGCTGTTCCCCATCTTCAGCAGGTGACGGTCAGGCCGTTTCGGTTTCATTCCCCACAGTTGCTGTCCTATTTTTCCTGCCGCAATTATTGTAAAGCATTTTGAGGTCCTCTGTGAAAGTGGACGGCTGGTCGTGCAGATCTTCAGGAAATCCTCTACGTGATCCTACGCTGGAAGGTTCGTTGCCAAAAAGGAAGAACGACTTTGAACTGAATCACCTCAATTCTTTCCTTCTGAGGTCCCTGGGATGATTTAACCGCTTTACTTTTTGCTTCGGGGGCAGGAAGAGGCTTCTGGGTAGTTCAGGAGACACCCGGGAATCGCTTCCAATTTCTCGGGTCAGGAGGAGCTGCAGCGGAGGCCTCCGGCGTGCCCAGAAGCCTTTCCCAGCCTCGAGAATTGGAGGCCTCCGCGTGCCAGGAAGGGCCCGGTGAGGTGACTCAGGGCTGCCTCGCCCCTGAAGGCTGACACAATGGACCTGAGAGGGAGGTGTGGCAGGTGCGGCTTGGCACTCGAAGCCTCCTGAAACTCCCTCCCACCTGGGCCTCCCCCCCCCCGCAACGCACAGAGGCCAACCTGCCACCCCACCCAGGGCGGGGCCCTTCCTCCTACTCCCAGGAGGGGAGAATCCACCCTTCCAGGGGTCTCGGGTCGGTTGAGAGAAGCAGTCCGAGCCAACAGGGTCCCTCCCAACCCCGATGAGCCCCCCCTTTGGGTCTTTCCCAAGGCACAGTATCAGCCCCCTCCCTCGGAAAAGGGTCCCCCGAGGCGGCTGGGCAGGTCTGAAAGCAAGACCAGCCGGCGGGCGTTCTCTCCCTGAGCCTTGGGCGACACCCGGTGGGCACCTTCAGTACTGCCTTCCAACTCAAGAACCCCAGCCGAAGAGGGGCTCCTGCCTCCCCCCCTCCCCATATAATAATCCTTGACCTACGAAAAGAATTGGGACCAGAATTCCCACTGCTAAGCAGGGTGGGGAAGCCAGTCAGACCTGAGCTTATGGCTTTGGGCCAAGGGCCGTTACGCCAAGCGCTGCTGCTCTTTACGCGAATCGTTGATTTGATCTCCTGTCTGCATTATTCCCTTCTGCCATGCTAGCGTCCACTTTCTTCCTTCTGGAGCGATGGCTCCAGTTATTTCTAACCACCCCATTTCCCCCTTCGGACAGCTCTGGGTGGCAGGTCCAGACCATCCCGGCCCCTTCCGTCCATCCATCCACCCGGCAGAGAAAAGCTGCTAAGGACGTCCTTTATTCTCTTCCCCGCATCCCTCCAGTGTCTGAAAAGAAGCACACGGTGCTCAGCACCCTTCGTGGTCTGCTGGGAGGCAGGACTCCCAGACTCAACGGCCGGCCAGGCCCCGTCAGGAGGCAGCCACCTGGGTCAGGGGTTCTTCAAGGTACTGCACCAAGGCTTGGGCCTGCAGAGAGAAGGGAAAACGTCGGGTCTGTCAAGAAAGCCCTGCAGCCAGGCCTGGCCTCCCCTCAGCTGCCGGAGCGGCTGCAGTACAGATCTCTGCTGTCTTGCCAGGGCCTCTCCTGCTGCTGGGAAGAAAGACAGAACGCCGCTTCTAAGGTTTTCTGGAGGGTTTTACTCAATTTTAAATTATGGAGTGGCTAACCTTATTTTTGTCTAATATAGTGTAGGCCATGGGGGTGCAGCTAGGATTAATTTCATTATCCAGTACTTAAGATAACCATGTATAAGCATGTCATGAAATATTACTGGAAATATTCCAAAGACTTTTGGTCTAATTTATTGGACAAGAAGCCTCTTATGGATTTTTTGTGTAGAAATGAGCAAAATGAATCTGTGATCTATGATTATTAGATTATAGAAAGAAGGGCAATATGATATAACTTTCTTTGTACTTATAACTGCGGTGAAGAATATCAGAATCCATCTCTCTCTCTCCCCCCCCTATGTTTTCTTAAGTTTATATATAAATACCCTCAAAAACTTTACACACACACACACACACCTCCTTTCTTTTCTATTTTTCTTCCCCCTTACCTTTGCTTTCAACATGCCAAAGCCCACCGTCTCCTTCGCATACATGCACAACAGCAGGTTAGCAACTCTGGTAATTGCCACACGGCCCTCCTGGATTTTGGGAAAGAAAAGAAAAGGGAGGCTAAAGGAGAAGCGATTCCCAAATGGAGATCTCTTAGCTTGGCCCCCAGCATCCGTCCACTCTGGCCCCAGAGCAACCTGGGGCAACTTCCGCCTTGTCTCCAATGTTTCTTTCATAAGGAACGTTATAGAGAAAGGGGTCGTGTTGCAACTTGAGAGAACTCTGCAGGAATCTGGCTACAGCCCTGATCACCCTCCAGCCTTCCAGAGCAACTGTAGCCCCTTGATGGCCTGTGGACTTCCAGAATGCTGGGAAGTCATGGTTACTCAGGGGCCAGAGTTGTTCAGCCTTGTTGCAAAGGCTTCTGAGGAGAACAGTGTCCACAGAAAATCAAATCTTGGTGCGCGTACCATGCAGTCCATCAGGATGAACTTCAGATTGTCTTCGTTGAATGCTTGGTGTCCATTCTTGTCATAGGCCACCCAGATATTGCTGGCTATGGCAGCTGTGACTCTGGCATCCGTGTCTCCGTAGCCGGAATAAGCGAGAAGAGAACCCTCATTGTTCAGAAGCCTGGAGGAGGAGGAGGAGAGGATGCTAAAGCAAAGGGATCAGGCTGGAGTCCTGGAAGACTTGCCCAAAAGCCCTCTGAGATAAAACTGCCGCACTCTGGCAACCATTGTGACCATAAAGAACTACCTTGCTAAAACAGACCATGGTACGGAACAAACCAGTCATCGGGTAACTTCGGAACATCTCTCTTCCCTCTGCAGCTACTGTCTACCGTTCCAGCAACTTACAGTTTACATACATGCTGCTACAGAAAGGCCATACAGGGCTGTACAACAGTAACCCAGCATGCAGCACGAGAGTGTCCTACATTGGTGGGGATTCTGGGAGTTGAAGTCCACTCATCTTAAAAGTTGCCAAGATTGAGAAATCCAGAGGGGGGGGGGGGAAATGCCAATTAAGAAATCTCTCCCAGAGTTACAGGTAGTCCTCGACTTAGTTCATTTAGTGACCATTCAAAGTTACAACAGCAAGGGTAAAAGTGACTTATGACCATTTTTCAGACGTATGACCATTGCAGCATCTCCGTGGTCACCTGATCAAAATTCAGCCACTTGGCAACTGGCTCTTATTTTAATTGAGTTTAGTTTGTCATTGCACCTCGTACAATGAAATTAAATACCAATGCGATGACCTGGGGCATGGCACAAAAGAAATAAAGTCACTTTCTTTCCTTTAATACCTCCAGCTTGGCCCACACTGTCCATTTACCTTCAGCTGGAGAAAAAACTCACAAGAACAGTTTTTAAAGGGAAGAAATTCCGTCCTAGAACAACATACATATAAACTCTAACTAAAAATCCACACAAATCACGCTGCACCAATTAACTGGACAGGGCAGGAGAAGGAATTGCAGACTTCAAAGGCCAACAAAACACACACAGTTGGGAAGAGGCCAGGAACCCAGATACACCTCGACAATAAAAGATAATTTGCTTCCAATAAGTTGCTGTGGGCAACTTCCCTTTTTATAGACTGTTCCCAGCTGCAGCTAATGAAGGGAATCAGGGCCCTTTCCTCCCCCGTAAGCCACGCAACCCACGTTGCTCCCTTCTCCGTTCCTCCCTGAGTGCCCTAGGATGAAGAGGGGGGTGGGCCCGGGTCTTCCTCCGAATTCCTTCTGCCTTGCTCCACCTCTTCCCTGCTCTGCCCAGCCGGACTTTGCCCTTCCCCAGTTTCTTCCACAGCCAACGGGGCCACACTCCCATTCCCTGTCACCCCCCACCTCAGCCTCCCAACTGCCAGGCGGCGAAGGAGAGTCTCCCGCTTTCAGGGCCGGGGGAGGCGGGAACGCCGAGCCCCAGGGTGACTCACAGGGTGCTCTGGACGCCTCCCGTGTTGGCCTGGCTCAGCACCTGCGTCAAGGCCTTGGGGCGCAGCATGGCCGCCTCTGCGCGCTCAGGAACGGAGACGGGGGACACTCCAGCGGCCGGCTCCCTCAGCTGATCGGGCCCGCACCCCGGTGCACGCTGGGAGTCGTAATCTCCGGCGCTTCCGGTTCCTGCCCTTTCCTCGACACCACTCTATCTCCGCGCCTCTATCCTCTGAGGCAGGTGGGGCGCTCTGGGAGCTCGTCTCGCTGCGCCGCCCGTCCTTCAGGCGACGCCGAGCCCTAGTCCGTAGGAGGCCGGGCGCCGTTCTTTGGGGCGAGGAGGGGGCGCTACGCTTTTCTATCGCAGAGGCCCCAGCTTCCCGGGGACAGGGCTTTCGGAAGAACGGCGCGGCTTCCCAGGATAACCCCACCCTTGAACTCTGATCTCCGCCGGCGGCCCTCCGAGAGTTCCGGAAGTGCGCCCAGACCGCCGGAAGTACCCTGCCGGCACCTCTCCGCGCTCCCTCTCGCTCGCCGGCGGCCAAGATGGCGGAGCTGAGCAGCGGAGGCAGCGGCGCCTCGTCCTCCTCGCAGCCGGGCGGGGGCGGCGGGGGCGGCGGCGGCGGCGGCGAAGGCGAGCCTGCGGCCACGGCAGCCACGGGCGCCCTGATCCGCGTGACGGTGAAGACGCCGAAGGACAAGGAGGAGATCCTGACCGGCGAGCGCATCTCCGTCAGGGAGGTCCGGCCGGGCGGGGCTGCCGGGGGGTGGGGGGAGGGGTGGGAGGGTGGGGGGTCTCCGCGGCCTGCCTGACCCCGGCCTCTCTCACCCCCCCCCCCCCAGTTCAAGGAGGAGATCTCGCGGCGGTTCAAGGCCAAGCAGGAGCAGCTGGTGCTGATCTTCGCGGGGAAGATCCTGAAGGACGGCGACTCGCTGCTCCAGCACGGCGTGAAGGACGGGCTGACGGTGCACCTGGTCATCAAGACCCCCCAGAAGTGAGAGGAAGGGGGGGGAGGGGGGGGGGGCTCCCTCGGGGGCCCCCCCCCCCCCGTTGGCCAGCCTCCCCCTCCCCTCGCGCGGCTGAGCGGAGGTGGGGGGCGCTGGGGTGGGGGGTGTCCCAGCCCTGGCCGCTTTAAGCCTGGTGGACTTCAACTCCCAGAATTCTCCAGCCGGCTCTGCTCATCGTCTCTGCTGGCTGGAGAATTCTGGGAGTTGAAGTCCACCAGCCTTAAAGCGGCCAAGGCTGGGCACCTCTGCAGTCTGGCCAGTGGTTTGCCCACAGTGGGGTGGGTGGGGGGTGTCCTTCCCTTTTGGCGGCTTCTGATCTCGGGCAGAGGATGCGGCCTCCGATGGGTCATTGAACGGGCTGAGGCTCCTTTGCAGGGAGGGCCAGCCTTGGCCGCCCCAAGCAGCCAGAACAGCTCCCAGAATGGCTGAAACAGGTTTCTTCATTGCTGGTCCCCCGTTCGCAAGAAAAACAGAACAGCAGAGCTGGAAGGGACCTGAGAGGTCCTCTAGCCCAACCCTCTACCCAAGCAGGAGACCACCTACCATTCCAGACAAGTGGCTGTCTTTAAAGGCGTCCCGTGATGGAGGAGCCACAACTCCGGGAGCCAAGCCACCCTGTTGATTAATGGTCCCCCCTGTCAGGAAATTCCTCCTGAGTTCCAGGTCGCTCCTCTCCTTGGTTAGTTTCCATCCGCTGCGTCGCAGAAGAGTGCTGGCTTCCCTTGCGAAATGAGGCATACAAACCGGAGGTGATGTTACCTAGTTTGGGTAACGAAACGCCTGCAAGAAAACAGCCGTGCTCAGGAAAGACCCCTCACAAACCCAAGAGTTCGACCCTTAAACTCCCCTGCGTGGAGTCCATTCAGCTGGGATTTCTTTTATGCCCCGCCCCCGTTTGGGACCTGCTCTCCTTCACCCAGTGGCTGCCTCCCCCATGGCAATGGCCGTGTCTTGCTTGATTCGTAGGGTGCAAGAACCTCCCGGGGTGACGGTGGCTTCCCCTCCTGTTCCCTCTGCCACTGGGGTAGTTCTGGCCCCTTCCGCGGCGCCTCCATCCCCTGCAGCCCCCTCCCAGCCATCCACATCCAGCAGCGGCCTTTCGGACGTGGGAAACAGCAGCTGGAGGAGCAGCGCTTTGGGCGGCACGCCGGGGTCAGCTGGGGAAGGAACGCCCAGCGGGGCCACCTCCATCCTGTGTAAGTAAGAGAGGCCTCTTGACTGGCAGAGCTCTTCGGAAGCAGCTCAGGGAGGCAGATGCTCCTCCTTGGGTGGGTGGGGAGGTCTGAGTTGCCAGTGTCTCAGGTGGCCCTGCGGCAGGGTCATCCATCCAGAGAGGGCCAAAAAACGGCGAGGGGACTGGCTTTCGAGTACCTATACGCAGGAGTGATGGAGAGGCAGCCAGAATATGAGAGGCCGTTTTCCTGCTTCTCTTCAAGATCTGTTCCAGACCAGATCTGGATAGTCGGCCCCAAGCCTGCTGTCCGACTTGCCGCCGTTCCGATCCCTTAGGAAAGAAAGACCCTCAACTCCATTTGGGTGAAGCGACAGGTTCTTTGGTTAAAAGTTGCTGCTGGCTGCCGTAAAGTCAGGCTAGGGCCAAGATTCCCTCATGAAAAGTTACAGTGCCGGCCCCCTTGACCGCTTCGCCTTCAGCCAGCGGAGAGCTGCATAGGTGTTTCGAGAATCGTCGAGATGTTTGGGGCAATCCACATTCCACTCTCGGGGTGCGTGGCCTTCAGTGTTGGCACAAACTGGTTCCACGCCTCTTCTCTGGTCTTGGTCAACCTATCGTGTGTCGTCCCCCCCCCCCCCCCCCCCCTCCCCCCCCCCCCCCCCCCCCCGTGTTTATTGCCTATTTGCCCCCCACCCCTTACCTTTGGATGGCCGAAGATTTCAGAACTGACCCCTTCCTTGGAGGCCGTGGTCTGAGCTGCTCTTCCTCTGTCCCCTCCCAGCCGGCTTTGGTGGCATTGCTGGGCTTGGCCACCTGGGGATGGGCTCGGCAAACTTCATGGAGCTTCAGCAACAGATGCAGCGGCAGCTTATGTCCAGTCCGGAGATGCTGTCCCAGATCATGGAGAACCCCTTGGTCCAGAGCATGATGTCCAACCCGGACTTCATGAGGCGGATGATCACGGCCAACCCCCAGATGCAGCAGCTGATGGAACGGAACCCAGAAATCACCCACATGCTGAACAACCCCGAGTTGATGCGCCAGGTGGGCACCTCCTCCATTCTTTGACTTGTGGGGATCGGCTGCCTTTGCAGGTGAGACCAAGGCAGGTGTGAGCAGCGCGGCCCGCCAGCCTCCTTCAGCTGCGACGGGTAGCTGTTCCCAGCCAGTATGGGGCCTTTGCTGTTCTGCGCCCAGGGATGGTCGCACGCTCCCTGCATTGAAGCAGGGAGACAGGAGGGGACGCTGTCAGGAAGGCCTGCACAGCGCAAAGGAGTTTGTGCGGATCCATGTCTTGGTGGCTCAGGGGCAGCAGACCCTCAAGCCCAGCCCGTGGGCAGCCTGCCCGGTCAGAAGGCCTGAGTGATGCCAAGTCCCATCTCAGTGGAAGCTTCTGAGCCCCTGAGGTCGGGGCGGCTGATGCGCCCGGTGCTGTGGGGCAGACCGGCTGCAGGCTCAGGCGGCCCCGGTCCGTTTGCTGAATGCCTTCCGTACGTTTTCTCTCGGACGACGCCTCCCACGTGGAAGGGGGCGAGGTGGTTGGAGACATAGGTGGTGCGGAAGGTCCACCCAAGCACAGAACTTTTGTGTGGAAGCTTTCCGTAGCCTCACCTCCCTGTGTCTGGGTGGGCTTTCTGTGCTTTGCGGGATGTGGTGGACGGCCTAGGCTGGGCGAGGGAACGCTCCCCCGTGGGCTTCGGCCCTGTTGGTTGTGGTTCTTCCTGGGTCTGGCTGTCCTCTGCACGCCGGAAGCCAGGCCCTGCTTCCTCTTCGCCCCCCTCCCTCCGTGGAGAAAAGGTTGGGCAGCTCTCAGCAGTCCAAGACCCAAGTCCTCCTGCAGACCAGCGAAGGTGTGCGTGTGAGTTAACGGATCACGGTTTTAAGACCTGAGCAGCCACTTTCCTGCCCAGCCTATTTCCAGAAGCAGGCAAGAGCTACAGTTGCTTTTCCAAACGGTATCGGGTACCCTGTCCTGTCTGCCTGGACCCCGGTTTCTGACTTGGGTCTGGCCAGGTCCCCTTGCACTGACCCAGAGGGAGGTTCTGCCTCGCTTGCTCATTTTTCACTCGCTCTGCCGGCAACTCCGGAAGCCGGTTCAACGAGGGTCAATCCTGGGTTCAGGCAGACTCTTAGGGGGAAAAAAAAAAAGAGTCTAGACCGTGTTTAATTAAATGTAATTTTTGTGCGCCACCCTCCTCCCCTACAAGGTGGCTCTACTCGGACGGGTCTCATGCCACAAAGAAGCTGATGGCAACCGGGGTGCCTCCCCTCCGGTTGGCTTTTAGAGCCCTCTGCCTCTTTCCTCAGACCATGGAGTTGGCGCGCAACCCAGCCATGATGCAAGAGATGATGCGCAACCAGGACCGAGCCCTGAGCAACTTGGAGAGCGTTCCGGGAGGGTACAGCGCCCTGCGGCGCATGTACACGGACATCCAGGAACCGATGTTCAGCGCTGCCAGGGAGCAGGTGGGCGTGGCTCGGCCGTTTCCCCCGGTCTCAATCGCGACCAGCAGGGACTCCGGGGCTGCGCCTCTTCTAAAGTCACCCCCCAGTCTTCCAGGGGGAGGGTCGTATATTTGGGTGTCCTTAGGAGCCCAGGCGGGTGGAAATCTTGGGGCTTTTCGAAGAGAACCTCGTCGGCTCCAATAGGGGTTGCAGTTTGACGCAGCCGAACCCAGAATGGCCTGACAAGCGCAGGTGTAGCCGAGCTTCTCCGGGGCTTCCCTCTGCGGTGGTTCTGGGCACCCCAGGCCAGCTGAGCTGTTTCACCTGGTGGTGTTAGTTGCTCTGCTGCCGGTCCCCCCGGCCCCTGCGACGAGGCGCGGGGTGCAGAGCTCCATTTCCCCTGGCTTCTCCTTCTAGTTTGGGAACAATCCCTTCTCTGCGCTCTCCGGGAGCTCGGAGGCCCCAAACGCAGCGCCTCTGCGGACGGAGAACCGGGAGCCGTTGCCCAACCCTTGGAATCCCGTTCCTGCTTCTCAGGGCCAGGAGCCGGAGAACGAAGGAGGCCCTAACCCCGAGCCGGT